TATGCATATACCTACAATCCTTTATATGAAGGACAATTAACCAAATAATTATAAATCTATTAATATGCATATATTTTAATCTTTAGTTATGAGTAAACGCATAACTTGGTGTTAACTTGGCGTGAACATGAAGCTGTTGCCAGTATGGGTTCCAGCTCTGTGAATGTCTAACAAACGGCGTGAGGGACGGTAGCTGAACTAATTTGCACCAAAGACGAAGGAGGATGCCTGAATGTTGTTGACAATTGCAATCATTCGTCGTCTTTACGTGGAATCAACCTACAAAACTCTTCATTTTGACGGCCTTGAATGAAAAATTATCACAAGAAACTCATCTGGACTGCTTAAAGTATGCTAATGGGATTTTCCCACTACAAAATAAATAGGTCATACGATGCTTCTCTTCATTCTGACCGGAATGGACTGTCATTTCCATCTCACTAAATCCTCTTTCACCAGCACCCAACAGGACTCGAGCCAGGATCTTGTGTCAGTAATGACGAAAAATATTACCACTCCGCAGCACATGCGCGACCGAGCTTTCTATTGAAAGCCACTTTTTAGTAGAAGTATCGATGATGCACTCATACATTTTCCAGTGTATTCGATGAGCTACTTAATTCTGGTGTGAGTAGCATGAGAATGTGGTCATCCAAGTTTACTAATATACTGGAATCATGGACCAGAACTCCTTTAAATCATACTTTATTTATAGTTTAATTTCCTTCAAAGCATAACATTCGGCGATGCTACTTTCAGTTCATTAATCGCCAAAAGCGACCCAAGTTGAATCAAATATCTATTCACGAATAATACATTATTTTGGAATATTCTCATTTTGAATAAGGTCATCTTGACTTAACCCTAACTTGGGGCTATTGTAAAAATGATAAACTTGTTTCTTCTTGGATGTGAGTATGTTTTGAGACACCTTTAGTAATAATTGAATAAGAATTTAGTCATCTAAAGCAAATTAGCCTGACTAAGTCCTCTTTCAACGCTTGTGGTCAGGCTAGACCGCTTAAGTTGATAGATGGACTGATGGTTAAATTTCCCAAAATCAAATGAATAGAAGGCCTGCACAATGCCAGCGAGTTTTGTCCGGCCATCCCTGTCAAAATATCTCATCAGTACCACTAACGGGCCTCGAACCCGAGTTGTGTTTGTCAAATGGCGACATTTTACCATTTCGCGATACAAGCACGACTGGGTGATGGGGTTTTCTGGGCCAGAACACTTTTCAATCACACTTTTTGTGTGAAGCTTTTCTCTGAGGCCAGTTTGTACTAGCCATAAAAGTCGAAAACGCTAACTTTCATTTTGACTCAAGCAACCTAGACTGAATCCAGTTTTTATTTAAGAATGAGGACTATTATCCAAATATACTCATTTTGTATAAGGCCATCTTGGCTTGGTGCTAAACTGAATCTTCTACTTTCTCTCCGAAGCATGAATTTGTTTTCATTTGCAGTATTGTGCATGCATGTATGTATACGTGTGTATGTGCGAGAATATAAGACTATGGGCTTGTCAGGAATGTGGAGGAAAGTTGTAATTAAAAAAGTATACTGTGTAATGGGGGTCTCTGGAAACACCTAAAAGTATCAACTCCAAATCGAGGGCATTTTAAAACATTTCATATATGATTCTCCAGATGTTGGCGTACTTTTAGGAGTTATAAAATCTACAATCCATTTTGTTTCCCGTTATAAGTTGCCAAAGGAAGCGGGATTTAACCAATAACCTCGTAGCCACAGCCTTGATTTGTTTTGGTCTTCGCAACTTGGTTTGGGTGGCATTCCTGCTTCCTACGCCCGAGGTATCATAACACTTTTCAACCTTGGACTGTCTTCCGAGCTACTTGATCCCAATTGGGGTCGCTGCTCGATTCACAAAACATTCTGTCTTATTAAATTTATTTACTAGAATCCCTCGATCCCATCCACGGTATCCATCATATTCATGGATTTATTCACGTACCTGTCCACGAATTTGTGGTATAAACAAGATCGAGCTGTGAGAACAAAGTACTATGAGCTAAAGCTACTACTAATAGCAGTAGTAGAAGTAGTAGGTATAATAATAATAATAATAATAATAAAAGTAGTAGTAGCAGTAGTATAAGCTAAACTAGAAACCACCGATGGAGAGTCTTGAAGTTGTGACTGTACTTGAAATCTTATCGGAAACTTTTGGAGCCACACACCAGTTCAAGTTGTTGTAAGGTTTTGTGTTGATGTGGTGCCTAAATTACCGCAAGTGGCTCTAATTCTGGTTGAATGTGACGCGATCAACCAATGAAAAGTCGGATCACGTTAAACCAACTTTTATTCATACCTCATTCAGTCATCAGGTGATAATGGGCTATGGAGAGTGTGTGTAAACAATACAGAACAACACTGTGTGTCTGTTGAAGAAGATAAGAGAGAGAGAGAGAGAGAGCAAGGGGAATAAAAATATGTTGATATAGCCTAGCCTGGGATTTCTTTTCTACGGAAATGTTGGTTGGAAAAAGATTTTGAATTCGCACCACCGGAGGTCTAAATAGGATTTATGGCGCGATGGCAGAAGGTTGAGCTGAGCCCTTGTTTGCACCATCCACAGCCTCCTCTCCGAATACCACCACCACGGCTTGAGCAAGCCGAGCTGGGCCAAGGCAGTACCGCTGCATTTTTCTGGAGGCAGCATGTTTTGCATCCGGAAATTGCCATGTTTTCTTCCTCCTCAGAACAATTCTATTTGGTCCGGATTCATGCCTAAGTCGGAATTTGATAGGTCTTGTGTGTGAAAGATAAGTGAAGATGAGAGATTTATGAAGAGAGTAAACTCCATTCCCGAAGACGATAGAATTGAGCGTATTTTTCATCAAGACAAGTTGGGCCAATGTATGAAAGTGAATGGCGTATTGCTGGAAATTGCTTTGACTGCCGTGGCAGAAGATGTTGTACAGCCCACATTTGCCCAGGTCTCTCAGACAGACAACGATTGAGTTGCGAAAACGTTATTCGACGTAGTATTGTCGGATGAGGAGAGAAGACGTACTGCGATTCTGAAGAGTTTAAGTTTGTTCCGCTGGGACAGACATCGTCAGCACACAAAGGCGAGCATTACGGAAATTGCGTGGATAAATAGGTTTTCGAGACTATAAAAGGAGGATATTTAAAAAATGTATTCACTCAAATTTCGAGGGTGGTAAAGATTGATAGTTGAATTTTCTTGGAACAATATGAAAAACCCAACCAAAACACTAAATCCAAAGAAAGGAAGGCCAGCTGCCGCAGCAAAATGGCTAAAATGGAGAACATAGCAAATGGGAAAATGTTCGCTTGATTTAGGATATATTAGAGCAAAGTTGCACAATGTACATTATGGTGAGCTGACGATGGTTGTCTCAGCAGAAAAGGGGAAAAATACAGGCCGAATGGTTATGGAAGTGACCAGGTTTGCGAAACACAAATATTGAGGATGGCGGTATACACAGAAATCGAATGCAAGTAGAATAGATCTGGGGAAGAAGAGAAGGAGATTGAATTCTCTTTGGTGTCTTCATTCTACTCATTCTCCTCCTCCTTAATCTCCTCATTGTCTTCTTCTTCTTCTTCGCATCCTCCTTTTCCTCTTTCATTTCCTTCTCGTTCTCCTCATTTTCCTCATTCGCCTCCTTGTCCTCCTTGTCCTTCTTCTCCTTCTTCTCATCCTCCTTTTCCTCCTTCATGTCCTTTTCCTTCTTCTAATTCTCTTCATTCGCCTCCTTGTTCTTCTTTTCCTTCTTTTCATCCTCCTTTTCCTCCTTCATTTCCTTCTCGTTCTCCTCATTCTCTTCAATCGCTTCCTTGTACTTCTTCTCCTTCTTTTCATCCTTCTTTTTCTCCTTCATGT